GTTAGTTACTGCATTCAGCCTTGTTGAATTAGTCCCATTTTTTTGATGAGTAAACTGAGAGCCAGAAAGAAGTCACTAACCCCTGGTGGCTCCTTACCTTCGTGAATGAATGAAGGAGCTGGGCTTCTAACAAGCCCTCCCTGAACTCAAAAGCCATGCTCTGTCCTTGCCTGGCCTCACCCTCCAGGAGCCAGGCAGGAGGAGCCAGAGAGTTCCGACACCCTCGCCTAGGCAGGCTCTCCTTCTTCCCTTCACACCAGAAATTCCTGCCTACTGCCTTTGGGCTGCCTCATCAATTTGTATGCATCAATCTCCCAGGCTGAGATCACAGCTCTAGAAGCTTCCTGACAGCCCCCGCCCACCGTGGTCCCTGCCTTCTCTAACCATCATGGCATACCAGTCACAGCCTTGCACTAACTGTCCACACAGCTCTCCCTAGCTAGTAGGCTCCCCACTCTCTTCTTGTCTTGCTCAGCCCTCAGTGGAGTTCAGAGCTAGCCCCTGGGCTGTGTGCAGACAGAGTGAGTAAACAGACTCTGTCTGGCATTCGTGAGGCCGCCATCAGTCAAATGATCACATCAGTTTTAATTATTAACTGTGATAAGAAGAGACCTCTCCTATTAGTGAGTATGAGAGGTGATGAGATCATTAGGCAAGATCTGGTGCCAAGGAGGCTTCTGGGGATGTGATGGGATGTGACATTTGTGCTGAGATTGGATGGTGATGAGGAGTACATCAGAGAGGCAGCAAGTGCAAAGTCCCCAGGGCGGGAGGAAGGGGCATCTAGGGAGCAGAAAGGGGCCCTTGGTAATTGCATGCCGGGAGCCAGAGGAAAACTAGCACAAGACAAGTCTGCAGATGCTCCAAGGACCGTGGGACTGCGTGGAGGATTTAGGACAGGGCTGGGCAGGGAGCAAACCATGAAAATGGACTGATGCGGCATAGAAGCCCAGCAGCCGCCCCTTGAGCTAGAGTGAGGGCTCCCTGTGGAGCTGTCGGCTGATAGTAGCTCTGGATGTGCGTTGGCCAGCGTGCCTCTGCATTTGGGACTGGGACTGCCCACCTGGTAACGAGGCCACAGTGTTCACCTTAGCCTGGAGTGGTGCTCAAGCTCAGGCTGTGATTCCCATCCCTTCATGGGACTGACTGGTGCTTTTTGAAAAGAGAAGCGTCTGAAAAAACTGATGTAACTTTGGCCATAGGCCACAGAAGAGCAGTCCAAGAATTGTGGGTTTCCACCCTCCTGTCGTCAATATCAGGGGTAGAAAAGCGGCCAGGCTCCCTGCAACTGGCCTGTTGATTCCCGTCAAAAACAACTTTGTTTTGTTTTATTGGTATCTGGGGTTTGTAAATTTCTGAGAAGGGCGCATTCCCCACGCATGAAAGCCATCTGCTCTCAGAGGAACGGGCCAGAGATCCCGTGCGGAGCCGAGGTCAGAGCATCGGACTTGACATCACTTTTAGGAAAGCCATTCCCTGGCTTGGTTTGTTCAGAAGCGGGTGCCCAGGCCAGTGGGGGCACCAGCACTTTGTAACTTAACGCCCTGGCACTGAGGGCTTTTTTCCTCTACCCTGTGTCGGGCTTCACTAATCCTACCCCTGGGGGTGCAGGGGAGACCAGACTGGTCGTAGACAGACCCGCAGGTGAGGAAGGAGAACAGGGAAGCCTGCTTTCTCTCCATTTCCTTCTCCCAGCAGAACTCCAAAGCAGAGGAGTTACCCCCTGAGGGCAGAGGGCAGGAAAGACTCCCTTCTCTGAAAAGAAGACCCCTTTCTCCCTAGCGGGTCCTTGTTATAAAAGCCTGGTCTCCCAGGGGTAACACATCATCCCGGTGTCCTGAGCTATGTGATCAAGGACTTGCTCTGATCTCTCAGCCGAGTGATTTAGGGTAGGATCATACCCGTCTCACAAGTCTGGTGTGAGCTCTAACGAATTAATGTAAAATTGATGGTTAGATACCTAGAATTGTGCTTGGAACATCTCAGCGCTCAGGAAATATCCTTTTCTTTCTCCTTTTCCTCATGGAGGGGAGAGGGCATCCCAGCCCAACGTGGTGCCTGGTCCCCACCATCCAGTCCGTCGATACCTATGACCGGGCACCAAGGGCTAGGTCTCTACTCAGGCACTAATGTAAGCTGAGGGCACAGCAGTGCTTTGTGCCACTAAAGGAACATAAGAATATTATGGACTATCAGCTGCATGACAAGAAACAAATATGTAATATGTTTGTGATAAGTGCTGTCAGGAAAAATGAAGGAGAAGGGGGATTGAGAGTGGCAGGGTGGCCTGGTGGTGGCTAAGATGGCACTGTGACAGACGTGCTGATGACCTGAGGGGTGAGCTGTGGAGATGACCAGGAGAGGAGTGTTCCAGGCAGAGGGAACAGCCAGGGCAAAGGTGCTGAGCAGAGAGCGGCCTGATGCATCATAGGAACAGCAAGTGGGGAAAGCATGGCCGGAGCAGACAGACCAAGGGGGGAGGACAGGAAATGAGCAGAAAGAACAGCACGGGGTGGGGTGGGGTGGGGGGTGTGATCACGCAGGGCCTTGCAGGTAAGGAGTCTGGCTGCGACTGAGTGGGGTGGGAACCTGGTGGAGGGTATGGGGCTGAGGAGTGACAGGGTCTGACAGCTCTTCCGTGTTCACACAAGAAGCATTGGTAGCGGGAAGACCTCAAAGACATAATTTATGGCCTCATCTTCCCTGGCGCTCACCCTCCTGCAGGCCTGGACGAGGTGGGAGGATCCTGACAGCCGGAACGTGCCTTCCCCTTATTCAGGGTCACCTCCTCCTGCTGTGGTCAGATATAGCAAGAAGAGGACCAGGAACACCATGGGGTGTCCCCAGGGGGCACCAGGGAGCCAGATAAAGTGATGCACACCATCGGCGAGGTGGCCTGTGCTTGTAAATGTGCGTGTGCATGCACGCACTCAGACCTGTGTGTGCCGCATCCGCGTACACAAGCATGTGCGTGTGCATGTATGTGCACGTGCACATGTATATGTGTATGCACATGTGTGTGTCTGTGTGTGTGTGAGTATGTGTGTGCTCCTGGAACAGATCTGGAGAGAGTGTGAGTTCCTCATCTGCCAACTCCATTTCTTTGACCCCTCTCTGCCCACCTCCCAGCCCTGCACAGGTGACGCTAAGCATCCCTCTGTCTTCCGTGACAGGCCCTTACTGGCCAGGAACCAATGCTCCATCTTCCCGCTGTGCTCACCTGACCAGGGTCCCCGTTCCCGAGGCTGCCTGCTGCTAACCAGGCTGATTAGTCTGTTCAGAGTCTGGGCCTGTTAAATAAGGCATCTCCCATCCCAGCTCTGGGCCACGACACTCAGTTCCCGTGGCAGATTAGGGATATGAAGACAGCAGCTTGCTGCCACCATCCTCTCCTGTATTCAGAGCAGGCCCTGCACTTTGATCACACTCGTCTTACCCACTGAGCACAGCCTTGACCTCAGAATCTTTCTTAACGCGGTGCTCCAGGCAGCACTAATAATCAGTTGATATAGACAAGGGAGGTAGCATGTATCTAATATCCCTACTCCAAGGTGTTCCAGCTTTCCCTCTGGGACTCTAATTCAGTGACTCTGATGATGAAACTTTTGGCCACTGTATCCATTTGCAGAGCAAAAAAGAGAGTATGGGAGAAACCACTTGTTCTTGTACCATAGGTCTTGTCCAAGTATGTATGCCTGGGCCTCATCCTCAGACACTCAGCCCAGGGATTCAGTGTCCCTGGGAAGGACAGTGGGACACTCACGGTACAAGCCTCACGTTCGGAGTCCCTGTCCTGCAGGCTACTTTGCTACCCACAGCACAGGGCTGTCAAAGAGGCTAAATGGCAACATATATATAGAAGTTCTTTGAAATACATAAAGCACCCTACACATGAAAGGGGTGACAGTGATGTTCTGTCTATTCTATTCTGCTGATGGTGTTTCACTAATCTGAAAGTTTGGGCTGTTGGGAGGATCCCACCCACTAAGTCCCATGTATGGTGTCCCTATTAGGAATGATGGGTAAGGAGGCCAGACATTCCCTGAAAATTCCAGGTGGAGGGAAGGAGGCAAAGAGCAGGCATCTCAGGTCCTACTTCTTGATGCTGCCACTGCGCCCCGTGCACCCTTGGACAAGCCTCTTAACCCCGTTGTGCTAAATCCCGCTTGCTCATTCTCCCAAGGTCCTGCAAGGGAAAATGACGGCAGATGTGAGGAGACTCGGGAACCAAGCTGCCATGTGGGTGTGGGTTGTCGTGTCTTGTGATTTGGTGCAGGAATGCCAAAGGCTCAACACCAAGGCTCTCAGGTGGCATCGGCTGGGTGACACGTGACCTAACCAAACAGGGAAGACCTTAGAGGCCAGGGTGAAAGGGTTATGAGACTGTTTCTCTGCTCTGCATCAGCTGCCCCAGCCAAGCAGTGACCCCCCAACTGAAGTCAGGCAGAGCTTTGCAAATCGGTTCAGAAGGTGGTGGTGAGCCAGCAGAGTTGCAGTCATGGCCACTAGGAACCCAGGCGTGGGGAGGGTGGGGAGCAGGTGGGAGGGCAGTTCCTCGACTCTTTGGCAGGCAGAGATGAGAGGGAGGAGCAGGGGGCACAGGAGGAGGAGAGAGGAGGTACAAGAACAAAATGGAAGAGGAGCCAGTAGAAGCTAGAAGAAGTGGGGTTGGAAGGAGGGGTAGTGCAGGAGGAAAGAGCTGTCTTCTCCCCACCCCTGTTCTCAGAGGGAGGACCTGGTCTTCCCGGTCAGACCCAGTCTACTCAAGAATAGGTTTTATGCCTCCCCTATCAGATTATGGCCCTTGAAGGGCAGGCGGTGGGCCTCTCCCATCAGACTATGGGCTCCCCTAAGCAGGGACTACCTTAGCCACCTCATATGGTGGCTCCCCAAGGACAGGGGACCATACTTCTCCCACAGCCAAGACCTCCCAGTGAGGACTGTCAACCATTGGGGCCCAGACCTCTGCCTGCCTGATTATCCTCTTCTCCCCACCCTAGGGTTCACAGACACCTTCAACATGGACACCAGGAAGCCTCGAATCATCACTGGCTCCAGGGCCGCCTTCTTCGGCTACACAGTGCAGCAGCATGACATCAGCGGCAAGAAGTGGTGAGTGAGGGGCGCCCCGGTGGCTCAGTCAGCTGAGTGTCCAGTCCTTGATTTGGGCTCAGGTCATGATCTCACAGTTCATGAGATCGAGCCCCGCATCAGGCTCTGCACTCAGTGCAGAGATTCTCTCTCTCCCTCTTTCTCTGCCCCTCCTCCATTTGTGCACGTTCTCTCTTTCTTTCTGTTGAAAATTAAAAAAATGGAAAAAAAAAAAAAAAAGAAGTGGTGAATGAGAGCTGCCACCCCACCCAGCCCTGGACCCCCCACACCCGGCCATCTATTGGCTGCCCACGGTGGCTCTCACATGTAGACACCCTCACATCCAGTGACTTGACTTCTTGTCCTGGGTTCATAAGACCTCTCATCTCTGCCTGCCAAAGATTCAGTGCCCCTCCAACTAATCACTATTCTGACCACTGTCACCAGATTTGTTTTGCCTGGTTTTGCACTTCATATAGATGATATAAGACTGTAAGTATTCATTTGTACCTGACCTGTTTTACTCAACATTGTGTCTTTGGGGTTTAATATATCCCAGAATGTATTATACTTCATGCCTTTTCCCTGGTGTAATATTCCACGGCAGCAATATACCATAATGTATTTATTCACTTCACTATTGATGGGTATTTGGATTGTTTCCATTTTTTGGCTAATTTGAATGGAGATGCTATCAACATTCTCATACATGTCTTTTAGTGGACATCTGCACTCATTTTTATTGGGTATATACTCTGGAGAAGAATTGCTGAGTTAAAGGGTAGGTAATGTAGCTACCTTAGTAAGATTGCCAAGCATTTTTTTCCGAAATGATTTACCAATTTCAACTTTAGTCTAGTAATGTAAGAGAGTTCCATTTGCTCCGTATTTTCACTAACACTTGGTATTATCAGTTTGTTTCATTTTAAGCCATTCTGGTGGTATCTCCTTATGAGTTTAATTTGGGTTACTCTAGCGACTAATGACGTCGAGTAACTTTGTGTAAATGTATTGACCATTTGGTATCCCATTTTGTGAAGTATCTGATTTGTGGCTTTTGCCCATTGTAAAAATTGTGTTATGTGTCTTTTTCTTATCGGCTTATAGAATTTTTAAAAATATATTTCACATACGATCCTTGTCAGAGAAAAGCATTGCAAGGAACTTCTCCTAGTCCGTGATGTGCTTCTTCATTCTCTTAATGGTATCTTTGAATGAACAGAAGTTCTTAACTTTAATAAAGTTGAATTTATAAGTCTTTCTTATGGTCAGTGTATCTTTTGCATCCCATTTAAGAAAACTAATAGTGCTTCTCTCAATAGTGCTTTCAAATATTCAGTGTAAAATTCTTGCATGTCTTTTACTACATTAACTCCTAGGTATTTGATATTTTATGCTAATGAAAAAGAAATGTTATTTCATTTTCTAATCTTTTTTTTTTTTTTTTTTTTTTGGTATTATAGAAACATACAGGCAGGGTGCCTGGATGGCTCAGTTGTCTGGGTGTCTGACTCTTGATTTCAGCTCAGGTCATGATCCCAGGGTTGTGGAATCGAGCCCCGCATCAGCCTCTGCACTGAGTGTGGAGCCTGCTTGGGATTCTCTCTCTCTCTCTCTCCCTCCCTCCCTCCCTCCCTCCCTCTCTCTCCCTCTCTGTCCCCCTCTCTCCCTCTCTCTCCCTCCCTCTGCCCCCTTCCCCTGCTCACACACTCTCTTTTTCTATCTAAAATAAAATGTAAAAAAATAAAAATATGGTTAACTTTTGTATACTTACATGATATCCGGCAACATTATGAAATTAATTTATTATTTCTAATAGTTTGCTACTATACTTTTGAATTTCCTGTGAATACAATCAGATCATTTAAAATAGTTACAGTTCAGTTTCTTGTTTTCAAATCTTCGTGGCTTTTGTTTATTTAAATTGCCTAATTGCAATGACCAGGGCCTTCAGTACAAAGTTGAATAGAAATTGTGACATTGAACACACTTTTCTTACTTCCTTAATAAGAGGGGAAACTTAACAGTATTTCACAATTAAATAAGATGTTGATTATAGCTTATTCATTTGTTGTAGATACCTTCAGATTAAGGAAGTTTTATTTTTTTATTCCTAGTTTTCTGAAGTTGTGCGTGTGTGTGTGTGTGCATGTATAAATAGGTGGTGAATTTTACCAGATACTTTTTCTGCAAAGACTGCAATGTTATATGGTTTTTCTCCTTAATTTCGTTAATATGGTTAACTATACTCATTGATTTTTCTAAAAACTTTTTTCCATTGATATAGTCTTATAAATTCTGTTTCTATGTACATGAGGTATAGTGTGTAGCTAAGTGTATCTGATTTATTCTTAATTATAGATATTTTATTTTGAAGTTCTTGAATTTCAATTTGGTTCTTTTTTATAGATTTCTAATAGTTTGCTACTATTCTTTTGAATTTCCTATGTATACAATCAGATCATATGAAATAGTTACAGTTTAATTTCTAATTCTATTAAAATCATCTATCTCCCATTTGTTGATTTTTTTAGTCTATTTTCTTTTACATATTAATCATAGTTATTTTGAAGTCCTTGGCTAACTCCAATATCTGGATCATCTCTGGGTCTGCTTCTGGTGACTATTTATCTTATGATTATCAGTTACTTTTTCCTGATTCTTTGCCTGTTTAGTAATTTTTTTATTTCATTGTATGTTGGACATTGTGAATGTTACACAGTTGAGGCTATAGATTATGTTACCTTCTTTTAAAGAATTATACATTTTTGGGGCACCTATGTGGCTCAGTCAGTTAAGCATCCAATTCTTGGTTTTTGCTCAGGTCATGATCTCACAGTTTGTGGGTTCGAGACCTGTATCAGGCTCTGTACTGTCAGCATGGAACATGCTTGGGATTCTCTTTCTCTCTCTCTCCCTCTGCAACTTCCCTTCTCTCTCTTTCTCTCTCTCTCTCTCTCTCTCTCAAAATAAATAAACATTTTAAAATAGAATAGAATGAAGAATTACATATTTTATTCTGAGAGGCAATTAAAATATTGATGAACCCCCTAGATCTTACCATGGCTTGGTTTGGGCCTTGGTTAGGGCAGACATCCTCTAGTTTTGTCTTTCCTCTGAGGATGTGGTCTTTATTCCTAGCACACGGATTTTCTGGGATCTCTACTGAAAGCCCACAATATTCATGAAAGTTTCTCTGCTCAGGCTGGACATGAACCCTAACATCTCCCAGGCACTGGACAGCTTCTAAAAACTCTCCCACACTAACAGATTTTCTAGAGTCTCACAGGCTACCTACACAGCTTAGGAGTTGGCCAAAAATCCTGAGGGGACATTTTAGCAGAGTTTTGGGGCCTCTCTTTCGGTGGCTCTCTTCCTTCTGCCTGCCCTTACCAAATCCTCGGTCCAGCCCCAATTCCAGTCACCATCCAGTGACTCCAGTCACTCAGCACAGCTGCTGCTCTCTGGGCTCTGTTTCCCTTGTGCTCAACTAAGGAACATGCCCTCGTGGAGAGAGCTGGGGTGAATGTGGGTCTACTCCTGTCCTTTTCTCAAGTACCGAGCTCTGCATCAATTGCTGTCCTGTGCCTGAAAATAGTTGTTGCGTGTGTTTTAGCTAGCTTTCATAATTTGTTTATGGCGGGAATTGAAACTCCACATACTTTTACCAAATGAGATTTCACTTCTGCTGAGAAACCTTCTCTGACCCTCCCTTCCCATCACTGGAATAATTGCCCCATAGAATCCTGTATTTTGTTTTTCGTAACATTTATCAAACTGGATGATTGCTTGTTTCATTGTCTTTCTTTCTAAGGGGCCCAATCCCTGGCAACTAGTAGAGGCTCAAAAGAACATATTTTGAAAGACTGAATGGATGATTTAAAACATTTTTTAAATGTCTATTCATTTTTGAGAGACTGAGAGAGACAGGGCATGAGCAGAGGACGGAGAGAGAGTGGGGGAGACACAGAATCTGAAACAGGCTCCGGGCTCTGAGCTGATAGCTCAGAGCCCGATACAGAGCTTGAACTCACAAACTGAGACCATGACCTGAGCCGAAGTTAGATGCTTAACTGACTGAGCCACCTACATGCCCCAAAAGACTAAATTAATAATTTAAACATCTCTCAACCACCCCCAAACTAAGGTTCATATTTTGTACATTCTATGAGAAGTTGGAGATTAAATGGAACTGGGGGTGCCTGGGTGACTCATTTGGTTAAGAACCCAAGTCTTGATTTCAGCTCAGATCATGATCTCATGGTTTGTGAGTTTGAGCCCCACATCAGGGTCCGTACTGACAGTGTGGAGCCTGCTTGGGATTCTCTTTCTCCCTCTCTCTCTGCCCCTCCCCTGCTTGTGCTCTCTCTCTCTCACTCTCTTTCAAAATAAATAAACATTAAAAAAAGGTTAAATGGATCTGGCTTTGGCAAGATTGAATTTGTTTTGAGTAATATTTGTTTAGTAAGCTTCTGTTAATAAACTTTACTAGACTCTGCAAAATATTAGTATAAAGTAAGACATGGTTTCACTCACAAATAACTCCCAGACCATTTGAGGAGGCGGCACTAATGTCCTTGAAATAATTAAAAAAACAATACAAGACAAAATATGAGCTGCTGTTAACTATGTTCATCTTTGTAAGGCCACTTTCTCCATGAGGCTTTCTGGATCCTTCTCCTGGCCTGAAATGGCCTTGCCTTTCCTAAGCCCTCTCTCTGATGGCGTCTATCACTTCTTACCTTGTGTTGGAGTCACTTGGGCCCATGGCATATCCCCCCTACTGGACACCGTCTTCATTTCCCTGTGTCTGAGAGAAGCCAGCACAGAGTCTTGCTCAAAGAAGAAACTCAGCCTGAATCTGAAAGGAGACATCTCTGTACCTCTGGGAGGGCTTCACAGAAGAGGGGCATTTGAGTGGAGTTTGGAGGTTGAGCCTAGAGGAGTAGAAAGGTCTGATAGAGTCCATTGCTGGTCACTTTTGCTGATCTGAGCACATCATGGGAGAGGGCTGGTGCCAC